ACTGGTGTCACTGGGGGTCACACTGGTGTCCCTGGGGGCTGTACTGGTGTCCCTGGGGGCCGTACTGGTGTCACTGGGAGCCCCCCACCCCCGGAGGTGATGACACCCCTGGACTGAGCCCCGTGATGGGTGTTGTGTTCGTACTGTCTGATCCGGGGCGGGGCCTGTGTCGCGACACGACATCATGTTGTGACACAATGACGTCACTTTACGATTCAACGATGTCACTTTATGATATGATGACATCACACCACGATACGATGATGTCGCGATGCGATGATGTCACAATGCGATGACGTCATATCCCAATACGATGATGTCGCAATATGATGACCTCACATGACAATACAATAACATCACGTCGCAATACAACGATGTCACATCACAACACAATGACATCACATCACAATACAACCACATCACATCACAATACAACGACATCACATCACAATACGATGATGTCACAACACAATGACCTCACATCACGATACAATGACATCACATCGCGATACGACAACGTCACGTCGCGATACGATGATGTAATGTTGCGATGTGATGATGTCACGTTGCGATACTGCGACGTTCTGTTGTGATACAACAACATCATCTCACGATACGATGACGTTACGTTGCGGTGCGATGACGTCATGTCGCGATACGACGGTGCCGTATCACGGTACGACGACATTGCGTCGCGATACGATGACGTTGTGTTGCGATACAACAATGTCACGTCACGATATGATGATGTCATGTCACGATGCGATGATGTGATGTTGCGATACTGCGACGTTCTGTTGCGATGCAACAACATCATGTCACGCTACGATGACGTTACGTTGCGGTGCAATGACGTCACGTCGCGATACAACGATGTCATCACGATATAACATCATCACGTCACGATACAATGACGTCACATTGCAATATGACGATGTCGTGTTGCAATACGATGATGTCATGTCCTGATACGATGATGTCATATCATGATACGATGATGTCATGTCATGATACAATGACATCATGTCCCGATACGATGATGTCGTGTCCCGATACGATGATGTCATGTCCCAATATGATGATGTCATGTCACAATGCGATGACATCATGTCCCAATACGATGATGTCATGTCACGATGCGATGACGTCATGTCCCAATACGATGATGTCATGTCGCGATGCGATGATGTCATGTCCCGATATGATGATGTCGTGCTGCAATACGATGATGTTGTGCTGCAATATGATGATGTCATGTCCCGATATGATGATGTCATGTCCCGATACGATGATGTCGCGCCACAATATGATGATGTCATGTCCCGATACGATGACATCACGTCCTGATACGATGATGTCGCGCCGCGATACGATGACGTCACGTCGCGATCCCCCCGCAGGGTGACGTGGAGGAGGACGAGGCGGTGCCGGACAGCGAGCAGGACATCAAGCCGCGGTTCCACAAGTCG